CCCCCCCCCCCAAGAGCAAAATGCCATCTTATGACCTCAGCCCTTATTACACACTAGGGAAATCACAACCCAGGCACAAAGCCATAGGAAACAATGCGTCATGCATTGTGCTGCTCAGAGAACAATCCAGTTTTCTTAGTGCTACAGAGAAAGTACAAATTAATTCCACTACATAGCATTTGTGCTCCAGGATATGTAGGAATTTGCAATTGTGACCCAGAGAGGGGGGATACTTCTGCATGAGGTCATATACGAAAGAGCCTGCCAGCAGAAGATGTAGAGGGAAGCTACAGTGAAACTAATAATTCTTTGATTCTGGTATTCAAGATGCTTGAAAAAAGAGAAAAGCTGTAACATTTAGTGCATAGGGTTGTGTTAGGATTGCATCATGTCTTTTTTCCCAAGAAAAGAATTGACTCAAACCTGCAATTAGACTTGGGAACATCCTCCAGAGAGACCTCCAGAATTGAGATGAAATGGTCTTTCTGGCAAAATTGTTGCAGGAAAATGGATGTAGAAAACTCTAGCAGGGGACAACTGGTGAGAAGAAATGTCTGTGATCTCTGCCCTAAGGGGAATCTGAGATGAAGACAAATTAAAAAACCCAAACCAAGTCCTGTCTGAAAAAGATCTTCCAAGGCTAGAAGCTGCTGCCAGAAAGGTTTGAGTCATTAGTTGACTGCAGTTGAATGATTGATGCCAGTTAGGTTTACAACGGTGAAGTATAGGCCATGTTGTTACACAATCTCATGCAGTATTGACTAGTAATGTTATGGAGACTTGACAAAATAAACACAAGGTATGTCCAGTAAAACAGCCAGTACAGCATCTGAGGATAGAGTCTGGTTGCAGATGGTTGGCTTTCTAGAAGAGTGAGCCACAGAAAAACAAACAACAACCCAAGTCGCCTGTGAGGAAATGAGGGAGCTTTTCATGCAAATTGGCAAGTAAATACTTTATAAAATGAAAATCCTTAGTTGGATTTGAAGAAGGGATTATTTAGTCTGTCAAGGCCTTTGAGAATTCACAGGAGTGTTAAAAAGGCATGGCACAGATTCACTGCAGCTAAGTGGGCAGAAGAGTCTGCCTCATACTTCTATTCCAGTGCAGCTTCAACACTTGCCATCTTGAAGCACTCTTGCTACATTTCTTTAAGCACGGCTGAAACAATCAACTGCTGTCTGAAGTGCAGTATCTCAGTTCAGAGTGCTGCAGCTCTTAATGTCAAGCACCTTTGAATTAACTGGGTTGAAAAACAAACCGGATTGACAAAAGTAATTTTGCACTTAGCTCTGGAAATGTGATTGATACCAGGTATAATGCAAACTGAAGTACAGGGTTTGGGGTTTTGGGCTTGTTGGTTTGTGTTTAATTCTGACCTTTTTCTATTCTTTTTATTTCAGCTACTGAAGCTGATAGTCAGGATTCAGGGGTTTGTGAACCTGGCCAACCATCTTCTTCCCCAGAAGAGACAAGCAGAGACCAATCTGTATATTCTAAACAGTAAATGGGCTGGAGAAGAGCTGAGTAGCAGGCAGCGCTATTTTCATTTCTGAGGAGACTGTTAGTTAGTATGAGGGTAGAGTGACACAGAGTCACTGAGCAGTCACAACAGCTAGAAGGGGATTAGTCCCCTGCCTCACTTTATGATCATGTTAGAGCTACCAGGCTCACAGCTCTACCTCCCTAGCACTGTAAAGCCCTTGTTTCTAAAAGGTTTTCCAGAGCCACGGTAAATCCCTTCCTCCTTAAACGGGTGGAAGCAGCAAATGATTGAGAATCTGAATTTGTTTCCTTTGCTGAGGTTAGATGGCTCCCTGACTTTGGAGTGAGGTCTCTGAGCCATGTACATTCTGTAGCCTTCTCATGTTCATGACAGTAGCCAAAAATGTGTTGTTTGTATAACAATTTACTGTAAAAGAAACCTGGTTCTGAATATTATGGAAGAGTTAAGTGATGTGGAGCCTGAAGACTGAGTGAGAGAGGATGGGAAGATGCTCTGGGTTGCTGATTTACTTGTCTGCCTAAGAACACGATACACTGGATTCAGCAGGGTAGGTGCCTGTCAAGAAGGGCATGGGAGGAATTTGCAGAAAGGTCTGATATAGGCTGAAATCCAGTACCTCTGCATTGTTTTCTGGGTGAACTGCGTTTAAGGCACCTTCTGCTCAGTTTGGGGACAGGCAGATTTGGAACTACTTCGTGTCACACAGGCTTCAGGATTTTGAATGTCCTTGATAGTTTATACATAATTTCAATGTTAACTCAGTACAGCTGAATCTAAACAGTACTATATGTTTCTAAAGGACTCATGTAGACCGCTTTATACATGTGTATCAAAGTGCGCTGTGGCGTATCAAAGGTGTGGAGAGATTGCCTAGGAAACGAGGACAAAACACCATTTAGAATAATAATTAGTCAAATCCATATATATTCTAATTTTCAATGATAATGTTTAATTAAAAATGAAAGGTACATTTCTCTACCATTTTGCCTAGAGGAATTGGTTTTGTGTTAAGTGGGTCAGTTGTTAACGTTTGAATAATTGGGGGGGGGACTTTTGTATAATTAAAAAAGAGACATTAAATTGTTGGTATGGTTTTGATGATTTGAGGCTTGCATATCTACATGTACTTTTTCTAGCCAAATGTCAGATGTTGCCCTGAACAGCTCGTTGTAACAAACTTGTCTGGAGAGAGAGAGATTCAGTATTTTTCTTCTACAACTTTTGATTGCTACTGTAGAGGTGAACGCAGTAAAATAAACATTCTTCTTCTCTGCTACTTGTACTAATAATCCTTTGTTCAATGCATGATGTAAAGAAATTATAGTAAGCTGGTTTTTGTTTTTGTTTTTTTTTTTAACTTAGTAGATAATCTGCAGGATTGCTTTCCAGTACACAGGGTTTTGGGGCAAAAGTGAAAGTGGCAAACTTAGAACTGCCAAGAGGAAAAACTGAAAAAAACATGTATCTATAGCAAATAATCTGATGTACAGCTTGTTGTATACTAGATTTACAATGGGATCTTTGCTCCCAGGAGTGTCCCAAACCTGCTCTAAAAACCGCTGTCTGCTTGGGAAAATCTAGTTACTTCTTTAAGATGCTTGGATAGAGCAAAGCTCTTTTCAAAATAAAATAATCTACAAATAGAAATACCAGCAGCACCCACAAAGCAGGTTCCTCTGTGGATGGAGGGTTGTTTTATCATATATATAATACAATGATTTAAGAAAATAGTAAAGTACAAGATGAATAGTTGAATAGTTTCCTCCACAGATATTTTTCTAAAGTCATACTCAGTGTTGTATTACTCCTTAAATCTCAAAGCAAGATGGACTCCAGCCCATTTCACAGACTGTAGTGCACAGTCATTGTAGATGCTTATACAGTAGTGTTTTCTCTCTGTTTTGTTGTGCCAGTGACTGCTTCCAGATTGCCAAGCCAAACTCCTTATTTTCCTTTTCCTCCATCTTTTTGACCTACCAGTGAGTGAACCAAAGTCTTTACTTTGGCTGTTTGAATGATGGCATGGCACTCCAGTAGGATCCCTCTCACTGCATTGATGCAGACCAGTGTTCATCTCCAGAGGGATGTAGCGAGTCTAAAGAAGAGCAAGAGAAAGGCAACTAAACTGAACAAGGAGATGGAGGACTTGCCTTACAAGGGGAGTCTAAAAATAAAGTCTTCAGTTCAGAGAGGAGAAAGTTGAGGGGAGATATGACTCAGTTTTAGATCAGCACGTCAGCTGTGGCAAAGTAGATGCAAAACCATTACCAGACCTTGCTATTTCCATAGACATGAAGGACAACAAGGTGACCAGGGGCAATGTCTGACCAGCCTGTTTGCTTTCTGTAAGGAAAGTACAGGCATCTACTCCAGTCTAAAGTCTAACAGGTGAACACTTACAATTGGCTTTCCTAGGGCATCAGTGAGGCCAATACTGTTTAATATGCACAATCATATCATCAGTCAAACGTTGTTTGCCACCAAGTTCTTGCACCTATCTCTGCATGGAAAAGTAAATGACTGGTAAGAGAATTAAAGTCAGTAACTCTCCAGCTGACAGGAAGAATTATCTCGTGGGTAATTCAAGGCTTCATTCTTCCATTTTATGCTCAGCTTGTCCTTTTTAACCAAGGAAAAAATGTTCCTTGAGAACTGGTATTGTCATACTGTGCACTTAAGGACTTCAAAGTGAATAATTTTAATTCCAAACTTAGTGCCAACCAATGTTTCCAATAATTAAACTCTGTGATCTCTTCTGACTCCATTTATTTAAATAAATGACTTAGGGATAATGAAATCAATTTGGATTGAAATGGAATGATTTGGATTAGACAAGTCGCTCAGAGGTTGTTCCAGCCTAAATCATCCCAGAATTTTATTGGTTTTTATTAAGGCTGAAGCCACTTTGACTTTGGTCAAATTCATAAAATTTGGGGAGAAAAGGGAAAGTTAGCTATGATACTCACTTCTGAAATCTTTCTGCATGCAAGCTGCTATTAACTGCAGTAGGAATTCTGTGCATGGCATGTCATTGTTATTTTCTGATTTCTGAGGATTGACTCCCTTGCTATAGATCTAAACTTCTGAAGATGTGATTCGTAACACCTGACACTTCTGTCAACCCTCTGTCCACCCTGCACACCCCTCGGTCATCACAGAGCAACAAGCTTTGTTCATACACTGAAGGGGAAAACCTGAAATTAGGAACCAGTTCTTTAACATTTACTCACACCACTAATTTCATTACTTTCAGTGGAATTATTTGCAAGGGTACAGAGTTGACAACATTGGTTAGGTATGCAAGTTTAGGATCCAAGTTTTATACAGAGGTGTCTGTAACACTGTCCAAAACCTCAGATTATTGTAGATTTGCATTTTCTGGAGGAGCTTTGGGAAAAGGAAAACAAACCCAAGGGATTCTAGAAGAATCACGTAATATGCCCATTCTGCAAACATATGTAAGATTCATTTGTCATTGCCCTGCAGCAAACTGCTAGATGTTAACATTTCTGTGGTATCCGCTTCTACATCTGGACTGAAGCAGGTTTTCGTATGACAGTCATTATAATACTCTTTCGAGGTCTTTTTTTTTTTTCTTCTTGGAATTAGATGCACCCTGAATCCACTGCAAGACTATAGCTGGTTTTTCCATATCAATGAGAAATTAATTTTGAACAGCAATCCAAAGAAATATTTAATTTCCTATTAGTAAAGTCAGCTTGCTGCAAACAAAGTTCTCCCTCCCCTTAAAAAAATAATTTTTGTGACAGAAAAAATTCTTTATGATGTGAAACATACCTACTCTGGAACAGGAGAAACTTTAATTAAATCATTCTTATGGGCAAGTGGGTCTGGCTTTCCTATTTTTCGCCCAATATTTTACTACTGCAACATTAGCATTAGTCACAGAGTTATGTCTCTACTTAGCTTGCCAGAACTTCAGGAACAAATCCAAATGTAAAGAAAGACTTTGTGGAATCTATTCCTGAAATCAGCATGTTGCTGCATGATTTATTGTAGCCCGGGCTGTTCAGAGAGCTCCAGATCCACCACAGATGACCAGGCACAGTGAGGTGCCCATTCACCCACCTATGCATTCTACTTACCTGTGTCCTTACGGGTATGTCTTACCATCCATGAGTAAGGCTTGAAGAGCCTAGGCTAGAACATTTCTGAAAAAACCCCACCCAAACCAGTGGGCTTATTTTGGCATTACTTTTATTTACAGTGGGTAACATTTTTTCTCTGGTTTCTTCTTGCTGGCCCTTCCCACTGGCTCTTTGGATATTGTCCTCAGCTGGCCAACATTAATGGCAACCTTGCTGCTGACTTCATAGGGTAATCTCCTATGGATCTAATGATGGGCCAGTTGTGATCTTGCACTGTTTTCACTTTTATTTTACGCAACTGTCTTTAGTGGAGGCATTTCTGGTTTCATTTACTAATTACTGTCAGGGTTTTATAGTCTTACTGGTACAGTCTACTCACAAGTGTCCAGGCCACATAAGCTAGAGCAAATACAAAACATTTCTTTTTAAAAAAACATCTTTTTACTAAATGTGGTTTAAATAACAGTCACATGCACGGTTCCCTTGGAGAACCTTCCTAGTTTTTCACAACAGGCTGTTTCCCATTAAGAAATGTGTTCTTTTGATCAAGGTGCAAATCAACTGTTTCTCATACTCTTCCAACAGTAAATATACACCTATATTCAAGTAATTTAAAAGTCTCATGTGCCTGCAGATAGTTGCATTCCCTTCCTCAGGGACTGTCTCACATTGTGAAATGGTTCTTTACTTCCTGATGTTCCTCAGTCCTGGGATTACAAATTTGTTTTAAAATATTTCTAGGCCCTTTGGCCATCTTCCTGCCTGTCTTTCCAAAGGCATGCACAAGGCCAGTAATCCCATTCCCCAAAGCTGCCCAGCTTTGCAGAGAGATCTGCAGAGCCCACACCTGCTTAGTTTACTTTCCTTACTGACACGAGTCTGCAGCTGTGT